TTGGGGGGGGGGCCGGGACTTGTCGCAGAAGCCAAGTTGTGATTTGCCCAGGCTTCCACCTGATTGATCCGCTTCAAAGCCAGTGGGGTCTCTGTCTTCCACTGTTTGCGATGGCCTTTTGTTGGGGGCTGCCGGGAGGAGGGTGTTGGTGAATAAGGTCTTCCTCTGGACACTTCACTCTTGGAGTCACTGCTCAGCTGGTGGCCCAGGGGTCACTGTCTTTTGGGGTCTTGGAGTTCTCTATCTGCTCTCTGAAGTCCACTTTGCTTCTGGAAGTTCCTCAGATCTGAAGCCAGCCCTGTTTTAGGGCAGGACTTAGAAGGCAGGAACCCCTCCCTGTGACCCCTGAGGTGGCTCAGACTTCCCACAATTACCCTCTTAAAACACAGTCTCCCGTGCTGGCTCCTTTATGGTAAGGGAGAGATGCCACCAAAGTGAAACAGGCAAGAATCTGAGAGCTCTTCAAGAGTCAAAAGGTGATTTTCTGTTTATGAGGGCCTCGAGTTTAAGCAGTTCAGACCCAGGGCAGTAAAGTCAAAAAGCATTTGGATGATGACCAAGTGGAATAAATATCTTGTTAAATGGAATGTTTGATAGTAAAAATAGACTAATGCAGCCATCAAGAGGTTGAATGAGATTAACATAAAGGTTTAAGTTTAAAGGGAAAGTTACATAAAGCTGTATACTCGTGTTCTTTTAAGACCAAGGAGAAATCTACCAATAAGATTAAAATGTATAGCTGACAATAATCAGGCCTGTGGTGTGTGGAAATATCATTACTGTTTAAACACTTCCTTCCTTCATTGTTCCGTGAACTTGTACCTTGCTTTTCAGCAGTTTGATATCAGCTAAGGATCCACCCGCAGATGATAGCATTTAAAAGGGATAATTCTGGAGAGCAGGGTTTTAGGGTAACTCAGTGACTCCTCATTTAAACAGGGGGGGAAAAATCACATACACTGGAAAAAAGTGGATTCCCAAGATGTAAATGCAGTTTCTTGACATGCCTAAAGACTCCATCCTAAGAGTCATCCTCACATCTGGCCTGTGGGGTTTAGTAGAACATTGTTTTCTTAAAAATAAAATAATAATCATTTTGGTGTTTGATAAGTGTTGTTAACACTTGCTGTTACGGTGTGCTAGGCCTGTTGCTGGTTGGTTAGTGTGCTTTATCTTGTAATCCTCACAGTAACTCCATGAGCTAATTATTACTATTGTCGTCATTTATGGTTGCGAAATTGAGGCTCATAGGGGTAAAGAAAGCTTGCCCAAGCCACAGGGTGAAAAGCAGTGTCTGTGTTGGAGGCCAGGCTGATTTCACAGCCTTCACTGTCCCTCACTCCATTACAAAGTAAAGTGTCAGGTGCAGACAAGAAAGCAAGCAACAGTTACTGCCCTGGGGTCCCCACTCAGAAATTCATCTGGATTTCATTTCTTTATTCATTTATTTTGCAACTATGTGTTGATGTATCTATTCATTCAGTAACTATAATGTTAGTGGTACTAATAAAAGCCCTCAGTCATTAAGCATTTTTATATGCCAGGCACCATCCTAAGTGCTTATGATTAGACTATTTTGTCTTCATGACAACCAGGTGATGTAGAAACACTCTCATTCTCTCCTTTCTGTAGATGAGGAAGCTCGGACCCAGAGAAGTTAATTCATTTTCCCAAGGCCAAACAGCACAAGAGCGGAATGCCAGCGCCCACAGCATGGACAATCCAGTGATGCCGTGCAGTGTACCGTACCAGACATCATAGGGATGCTGGGGGAAGAGAGCCCCTGGGCTAGTGCAAAGCATTCACTAATGGCGATGCTGGAGGGCTAGAGACCCCCTACCCTCCAGGAGTTTGAGCAGGCTGTAGGAGCGCTCATTAGGCCCAATCAAGCAGAATTAAGTAAGTGCCATAATTGAGGAAAGCAACTAGTGTGGAAACAAAAGGGAGGGTGTGATTGTGCTGCTCTGAGGGGCTGAGGGTGGATCTCCTGGAGGGGTGGCATCTAAAATGACCCATGAATGAGGAAGAACAATGCCTGAAGGAGGGTGCACCAACAGCGTCGATTCAGCTGCTAGCAACAGACATCCTGAGGGCCAGTGACCTTACCCAGCTGGGACCTTTGTGTGGGGGTGGGCCAAGGCCTCAGTTATATCATGGGGAACTAGACTGTGACTTCTTTCCATTTGCCATGGGCATGTAGGTTTTAGGCCTGAGGCTCTGGAAGGAGACTGGCTGTGTGTCTCCAGGCCTCACAGCTGCATTCCAGGAGAAAAAAAAAAAAAAAGTGAGGTAGTAAGAACTTCTGCCTACATGGCTTCACTGTTCTATTTGGGAAGGGACAATCCATTGAGAGACTTCTGTCCTCATGTCCTGAGCTCATCAACTGGAGCTATGCCATGTGGTGACCCAGACCTGCCAGGGAGAGGTGACCAAATATTTTTAGTCAGGTGCAATGCTGTCAGTGAACATGGTGGGGTTCTGCTTATAAGGCAGAAGGGGTACATGGAGGGATAGCTGTTGAATTAGTGAGTAGAGATCCTGCTACTTCAGCTGAGAGGTGGAAGGAAGGTATTTGGGGAACAGAAACACCAGGTCCTACAAAAGCCTTCAGCCTAAGAGGTGGAGAAAGGGTGCAGGGAATGTTGCCCAAGAGATGATGCCAGATTTTGCTGGATGTGGAGGTGGCTGGTCTTCAATCTGTCGGTACCAGGGAGCCATGCCCGGCTTCTAAGGAGGGGATAGCGTGTGTTCTAGGAAGGTAAGACAAAGGCTAAAACAATGTACCTGGTATAGATAGAACTGCTTGGTTCTTACCTGACACAGAATGAATTCAGGGGAAGTTTCAGACAGGGACCAGTATTGCCTTATGGCAAATAAAGGACAGAATACAATAAAGAAGTAAGGGGCAAGGAGATGGTGTCTTTCAGTCCTGCCAACAAGATCTAAAATTAAACCCCTGTGCTGAGGAGACAGGCAGGAGGGCTCATGTGGCTCCCTGACCAGCCAGTCTAGCTGAATCAGTTAGCCAGGTTTAGTGAGGGATAAAAAAATGAGGTTGATGTTACTAAATTTATTAAAGCTGTAATGAAATGCTTCTTATAATCATGTGGTTATTAAATTAAAAAAAAATTTAATGAGGTTGAGTAGACCATAGGGGCACACATCTTTAATCCCAGCACTTGGGAGGCAGAGGCAGGTAGATCTCTGTGAGATCAAGACCAGCCTGGTCTACATAGCAATTTCCAGGTCAGCTGGGGCTACAGAGAGACTCTGTCTCAAAAAGACCAAAAAAAAAAAAAAAAAGTTGAAGTGAACTGAGGTAGACACTCAACATTGACTTCTGGCCTCCACATGTATTCTGACACATGTATGCATATGTGCACATACACACACCACTCCCCCAAAAAGGAATTTAAAATTATTCAGGCTCTGAGGCTGTCTCAGGAGGTAAGCAGCTCTCTTTTTCACAATAATTCAGTTAGTGGAACAGGAAAAGTTGGGCAGGGGCACCTCTCACCCACTCACATGTCCTCTTCCTGACCCGGGATTCCTGGATCCAGGCTACCATTCTGCCTCTCACCAGCAGAATCACTTTGGCCTTGACCCCACCCCGACCCCGCCCCATTGCTTTAACTCAAGGGAATGTCTTGAGGCCTCAGGGCTCCATACACTGTCAGCTTCC